GCACATACCCGTTTCCTTCCTGCAGAGACTGGCCACCATCTCCGGGGCCCCCTTGACGTAGACATGGGCTGAGGCTTCCCCGGGCAGCTTCACCAAGACGCTCATCCTCTGCAAGGAGGAGGAGAAGGGGAAACGCCGGAGGATCCCCACGGGTGACTGGTGCTTCTGTGGAGGGGAGGGAGCGGGTGGCAGGGCCAGGTAGGAACTTCTCGGGGAGGTACAACCTCTCCAGGGGCTGTGATGCACAACAGCCCTTTGGGGGTGCAGACGCAGGGACGTGGGGAACCTCTGGTCAACTGGACTTACCCTGTCTCGCGGCTGTTCTTCCTCGGGTGGAGGTTTCATCACAGCCAAGACCTTCGTCCCAAACTGCTGGAAGGCTGGCAGCTCACCTTCCTCCTCCTCCATCATCTCCAGGCGCTGAAACCAGGGCAGATGCTGCGTTGGCAAAGCCCTGCCTTGCAAGCCCCGAGCCCCCTCCATCCCACGGATGGTTTTAAACACCCCTGGTGGAGCAAGACGCGTGCTGCCTCCCTCTTTACAGATACACAACTTTGCCCACCGCTTGTCTTACCCAGCCGGTGGACTCCACCATCTTGAGGTCCACGGGGTCGCCGATGGGCTGCGCCCGCAGCAGCGAGATGGTGTGGCAGGCGGCCAGGGAGTAGAGCAAGGGACCGGCAGGCAGGCAGCGGGGCTCGTGGACAATAGGCATGAAGTGGTTGTTCTCCAGCGGAACCACCCCCCAGACATCCAGACCTTCCTCTGTCAGGGTTCCCGTCTGCAGGGAGAGCGTGGTGGGTCCAGGTCAGCCCCGTGGCGAGCTGGAAACCATCATCCCACGTGCCCGAGACTCACCTTGTCGAAGCAAACCAGGCGGATCTTCCCGCAGAGGTTGATGCGGGGAGGGCTGATGCAGAAGATGCCCTGTTTCTTCAGCCTGTTCTGGGCATAGATGGTGCCCACCGTCATGGCAGCCGGGAGAGCTGGGGGCACGATGACAGTGATGAGGTCGAGGGCACGGATGATGATTTGCCCCACGGGGACCTGGCAGGCGAGGAGGAAGAGGGGTGGGCATCCCGATAGCCCTCACCCATCTCCACCCGCATCGGCTGCAGTCCCAGCACCAGCCTGCGCTCGAGGATCCGCCAGCCTCAACGACTCTACCTGGTTTTTCACCAAGATGAGGATGCTGTACAGCGTGCCGATAAAAGCTGTGCAGGAGGGAGAACGGGCTTGGTTACAAAGCAAAGCAGATGAAGGGTGGGTTCAACCCTTTCGGAAGAGTTTGGCTGCTCCTGGCCATGCCTCCACACCCAGACGTACCCAGGACGGCGAGGAACAGGACGAACTTCACGGCATCCTTGTAGAACTTGAAGCTCACAGGTTTGGGGTAGAGGATGGAGCTGATGAGATCCCCTTTGGCCGTGCAAAACCCTGCGGGAGAGGGGCAGAAGGTTAAGCACATGCAAAGTCACCGCCCTGAAGGACGTGGCTTCATCCCAGCTTTTCCCCCCAACCCATCACCTGTGCGGGTCACCACGGCCAGGACTTCTCTGCCCACGTAGGACTTGGCTTGGATGACCTGCGTCCCGCAGAACAAGGTGTGCCGCCGGTGCTCCTCGGGGGAATAGAGGGTGCTGGCTGCCTGGCTGCCAGCCGGGAGGGGGGTCTTCATCACCGGCACGCTCTCTCCTGCGGTGAGGAACATCATGGAGGGCGGTTGATCACCCTGGGGGGGGGTTAGGATCCAACTGGCCTGGATGGGAAGGGGTTGCCGTAGGGCCACCGAGACGCAAGGCTCGTCCTCTCCCCTCCAACCCCCAGCGAAAGCCGGGGCTCTCACCCGTCAGCATGCTCTCGTTGACCATGCACTCGCCCGTCAGCAGCGCGGCGTCGCAAGGGACCAGCATCCCGTCCGCGGGGAGGCTGATGCAATCGCCCGGCACCAGGTCGGCGGAGCTCACCACCATCTCCTCTGGAAAAAAAAAACCACCCGGCCGTGCTCAGGCACGTCATCCCGGCACCGTCCCCGACAGCTTCAACGCCAGGAGGCCTCGCTCCTCGTGGGCATCGCCGCTCACCTCCGCTGGGGCGATGGACTCGGACGCCGACCGACATCTTGGCCATGTTTTGCAGCGTGGCGCTTTGCTGCGAGGGAGGGAGCAGTTAGCAGCCCCCCGAGGGCAGCTCAAAAAAGCACAGCAAAGCCTCCCTAAAGCACGTCTCGAAGGCTCGGGACCACGGATGAAGGACAAGGAAACCTGCCCCACCGTTGGGACTATGGGTTGTCCTCCCCCAGCTGGGCTCAGAGGGAGTTCAACATCAGCACAGAGGTCAAACAGCATCAGAAAACGGGCTATTTCACTAGAGCTGCCTGTCCCACATAAGCCCCCCACCAACCTTCCTCGTCTCATAGAGGGACAGCCCTAAGGAGATGGTGGAGATGAGGAAGATGCAGGCGGCGTAGTAGTAATAGGCGTCGCAGACCCACAGCACGATGCTGAACACTTGGAAGATGTAGAAGGGATTGAGCACCTGGAAGAGAACAGAGAGAGAGCAGGTTTTGGTGGGGGAAGACCTTCCTCCAGCCCTTCCTGAGACCTCCAGGCTCCTTGAGGAACAATGGCTTACGCAGAGGAGAAGCTGGCCCTTCCCCGGGGCTGAGGGATGAACTAGCTGACTTCTCACAAACGGCCTCCCCAGCTTTGCTTACGGCCGGTACTCCTGAGGGTGCTCAGCCACCTCTGCAACCATCTGGGGATGCTCTTGTCTGAGCTACGAGGTAGGATGGGTCCACTGCTGCACCCGCTCTGCTTTCTCTGATCTCTGCCCAAGCTGCCTCTCCTAAAGTCCTCTCCTCCCCACCCAGGGCCCAGAAAGCGTTTGCAGTGAGGGACATGAAGAAGGGGAAGGATCTGCCCGGGGACGACTCTGCCCGTAGATGCCCACCTCCTCCACCAACAGCCTCGCGTAGGACTTGACTGGCACCTCGATGAGGTTCGGTCCGTAGATCTTCCTTCTGCAAAGAGGAGAGGGAAGCAAGGAGGGAAGCAAGTGCATGCTAGGGAAAAGCTGCATTTCCAACTCGAGGGACCCTCACGCTGCCCAGACCTCCACAGGAGCCTGGTTATGGGGAGAAGCCAAGCCAGGGCAACCCAGCCCACCTCGCTGTCCTCTCTTTTTGAGGTCCGAACGCAAGAAAACCCCAGGCTCCAGGATTTGCTGGTGCCTGGAAAAGCCTCATCTGCGCTCCCTGGGTGTCCCACGGAGCTGGTGGATCCCTACCTGGTGTTATGGTCTTGCTGGTTGAGCCCAGCCTGGGAGAGGTGGAGATCTGCGCAGGTCCAACCTTCGTCCAAGATGCTGGCAAGCGTGAGGCGAAAGAAAAATGGAGAAAAATGGAGTCAAAATCAGCAGGAGCCTGGCCTGGCAGAACAGACACCACGTCCAAGTCCTTGGTGACACACACAAAAAAAAAAGAAACCCTTTAGGAAAGGGAGAGCATCTTGTTCCTCAGGCTCTGCCGCAGCTCGCGGGCGCCAAGGAGGGGGAACAAAAGGGGCACAGTCTGGAGAGCGGCGAGCGGCACCCAGCACGGGGCAGCTGCCAAACTCCTTTGCCCGGTTTCCTCTGCCCGCAAAGACAGGCAACATCCACAGCTTCGGGGGAGAAGCAGCGCAGCTTCCCTGACCCAACGTCCCGGGGATGGTCTCCAAAGGCACTGCAGCGCGGAGGAAAGCTCCAGTGCAGTTATGGTGACTTCCAGACAGGTCAGGACCATTTTGGGGGGCGCTGAGAGCCAAGGAGAGCAGCAGAGGGGTGGGGGACGGAGAAATACCTGACTTTACAGTACGCCTGCCGCCGCTCGATCCAGATGTAGCGCATGCCCTCGAAGAGGTAGTACCGCAAGATGTTCTTCTGAGCAGGGCAGGGCGGAAAAAATAAGGTGTTAGTGGGACAGGAGGGCAGCCCACGCTGAGGGAGAGGATTTATGGGGCGGAGGCGGGAAGGGTCACCAGAGTTACCTCTTCCTTCTCATGGAGGCGGATGGTGTCCCGGCTCTCCTCCTCATCCAACACGCCGATGGCGACGCTGGTCCTCCTGTCCTCCAGCCTGGCC